AAGGCAACGTATGATAGCGTATATGGGCATCTGGGCCTCGTTTCATAAAGCGATTCCGTAATTTACGCCGTTTTTTGGTCTTGTATTGCAAGTGCATGTGAAGCGATGGCGATACTTTGAATCGTTGAATGTATTTATCTTGCAAGCAAGAACAGAAGGCAGAAGGAGAAATAAATGAACCGCTTCACATGTGCTTGTAATACAAGCCCAAAAATCGGCGTAAGTTACGGACTCGCTTTATGAAACGAGGCCCTGGTTACATATATAAGTTTTCTGATTATTCCGATGATCGAACGGAATAATCAGGTATATGTTTCTTGTCTAAGTTTTGTCACAAATTATGGGGGGGGCAAAAAGATACTTTTGCCCCCCTCGAGTTTGCCAGGGGGGCAGCTGCCCCCCCTGCCCCCCCGAATCCGCCGCCCCTGGCTCTGGCTTACTGAGCTGAGGTATGGTTGAGGTGCGGCACGGATGATGCGGTATACCTAAGTCCGGCTGTGGTGCGGGTGAGGCGAGCTTTGGGATCGTGTATCTACTTACCCTGCGTGTATCAGCTCCCGTAGAGCTCCAGACCTTGCCCGTACGTAAACGCATATCCGGCCCAAATAAATTTTGCTGGCTGGGTCGGTGATGTATTTTTGTATATAGAGAGTCAAGGACTACACTATTTAGGTATGACTATGGTAGATACAATATGTCCAAATCGATATCAGTGCCACCGACTGGTATGTCAGCAAGAATTCTCGTAGACTGACAACAGTAGGTATTGGTATGGCATTTCGGCACTCGGCAGCAATCCGTGACCCAGATGCCCCGCCCCTCGCTCCAAGTCGCCGTCGATAATATATCCAAAATATACCTACCCAGGTATGCAAGGCCTATATGAATTATGAGGCTGATTGTACCTAATCCTATAGTCTCCGCCAAACGCGTATTTACAAATTGCAACCGAGCTCCGCCGTAGGGTATTTTATTTCCGCCGTAGTGTATTTCACTTGGGGGATTTTCTACCATACATCTGCCTGAGCTTAGGGTAATTACAATTTGTCGGCGACGTTAAAAAATGATGCACTTTTTTCGCAGTATAGGATATCGCATGTGCATATTTCTGCCTTTTTGGGTGCGCTTTATCGGTTTTTCGTGAGTAACTCGTGTAAAAACCGTCCGATCGCGACGAAAATTTCAATGCCCCCGATTTTATCAATTTTACACCTACCCTGAAAATTTCATGACCCTGACCTAAATGACCTTTGACCTGTGACCTATTTCTCGAGACCATGTTTGGCCCGAATCGCGATTCGGCGTATGCCGGATCGCATTAGCCGCGCGGTTGCAGTCTTCACGTGGTTTCAAGCGTTGAAACATGTGATATGATGCTGGTCCCATGCATTAGGGTGGGTGTCAAGGTCACCTGAAGGTCAGGTCAGCTCAATGACCTTTGATGACCTCGGTTCCTTTTTCGAGTTTTACATGTTTCTAGGCTAGTTTTTGGAGCTGATTTCGAATTTAGCAACTATTTGAACATTACAGGGGGTGTAACGAAATTATCCGGACACCTTTCTTCCCGCTGTAATTGTTGTGGTATCGGCCGCCCGGGTTGACCTTGACCGCCCCTGACCCAGCGGGCCGGGCGGCGGGCGGCGCGAGCGGGCAGTGTGGAGCGAGACGAGCTCGAGTGCGGGTGCGGTGCGCGCTGATAAAGTACAGTGATTGTGAGACGCGTGTGTGACGGCCGAGGCGCGGAACAGAACATGGCGCGGTCGGTAGTGTTATCGCCGTTGTGATTCCGAGACGACCTGACCTTCCCATCGCTGTACCAGACCGCTCAGACCGCTCTACTCTGCCATGGGGGACCACGAGCAACTGGAGAGGCTGACGGCGCTGATGGTCCAACAGTCCGAGCAGGCCGCGCAGCGGGAGGAGCGCCTGGCTGCCATGCTGGAGCGGGCCCTCGCCAGCCAGACGCAGCCGCCGGCTGCGCGGAGCGCGGCGGCCGTCATCGAGGGTGGACAGCCCGCTACCATCGCCGCCGCGACCACCACCGCTCCGCTGGCGAAGCTCCCATCCGGCGCCATCACGGCGCCCCACCTGACCTCTTCCGCGTCTCTCAAGGAGTTCGGCGCCTGGCGCCAGAAGTTCGCCGACTTCCAGTTACTCACCCGCCTGGGCACGCTCTCCATCGACGAGCAGAAAGCGACGCTGACATCACTGCTCGACGACGAGTGGACGCGCACGCTTCGGTACAGCCTCCAGGTACCCCAGGACGCCAACTTGGAGACTGTCCTAGACATCATGGAGGCCCATCTGCGTGGACAGCGGAGCATCATCCTGGATCGTAGAGACTTCTACTCGCGGATTCAAGAGCCGGATGAAATGTTCGATGATTTCCTGTCGTCTATTAAAGAAATCGCCGCGTATTGTGATTTTTGCGATGTTTGCGTTGACGATCAGTATCGTGACAGAGTCGTGGTGGGTACACGCGACGAGGAAGCGCTGAAGCGTATGCTGCACGAGCCCAAGCTGACTTTGCAGAAGGCCATAGACATTTGCCGTGCTTGTGAATCGGCGAACACAAACAGCGCGGCGATACTCGGCGAGCCGGCCAGCGTGACACGTGTGTCGGCGTATCGTCGGTCTCAAGCCTCTCTCCGCTCGGACAGCTCGCGCCGGGGCGATCTCTGTCGGCGCTGCGGCCGGCCACGTCATGCCGATGGAGTACGCTGCCCCGCCACGGACGCATCGTGTCACACGTGTGGCGGCACCGGCCATTTCTCCGCGGCGTGCGCCACCCAGCCGGCTGACCGCGGGGCCCGTGGCGGCAGCGGCCGCGGCTGGCAGGGCGCCAGGTCACGTGACGGCGCGGCCGGTGACCAGCCGTCCGGCCGCGGCCGGCCAAGGTCACACCGCGGGCGGGACGCGGGCCCCGGTCCCGGCCTTGGCGCCGCGCCAGCGCACGTGAGCGCGGCCGGTGACCGTTCTGGAGTTCGACAGCTCATCGGAGACATCCACGTGGACCAGCTAGCTACGCGCCGGACGCCGCGGGTCGAACTGATGCTCACTCACCCGTCCGGCTCTGCCGCTGTTTCATGCGTGCCCGACACCGGCGCTGAGGCGACGGTAATGGGCGCTGAAATGGCCGCGTCACTCAGCATCCCGCTGCAGACGACACCCTCCTCGGGCTCTGCAGTCAAGTTTTCGTCTGCTGGAAACACGCCCCTGACCTGTATCGGCCAGTTTGGTGCCACGGTGACCCTGGGCGACAGCGAGATCTACACGACAGTCTACGTGCTGCAAGAGGTCACCGGTCTCCTGCTCGGCTGGTGTGACGCCGTGCGCCTGCGGATTCTGCCCGCTGACTTCCCAGCCCAAATACCTGCCGCCACCTGGCGTCGCCAGTCAGTGCCGGATCCAGCAAGGGCATCTCACGACAGTGGATCCCGTATCCGCTCACGATCGGCTAGCGCGCACGATCGGCAGCCCGTATCCAGCGGACCGCTGGCGACATCTATCGACACGCTGCAATCGCCACCTACCGGTTACCCGCTACCACGTACCGTGGGTGCCGGAGCGTCACGTGCCGCTGGAGCCGTGGCATGCCGGGCGGGTACGTTGAGCGATGACGGAGCATCTGCAGGCGGACTGGTGGACTCCGTGGGCGGCCGGGCGACTGCAGCGACAGATGCAGGAGCCGCAACACTCAGCGCAGCAGAGCCGGGGCCCAGTTTGGAGACGCAAGTTTCTCTGCCCGCGTGGGATCACGATTACGATCCATCAGATGACGTCATCCGGAGTCACGAAGCAGCCATAAGACGTCACTTCCGAGTGGTGTTCGACGGTAACGATGAGCTGCGCGAGATGACTGGCGGCCCCATGGTCATCGAGCTGACAGAGGACGCGGTCCCCACCGCTCTCACAGCCGCCAGAACTATCCCATACTGCTGGCGTGAGCAAATCAGGAGCCAACTGGACGAACTGGTGGCCAAGGGCATCGCAGCCCCGGTGGACTACCCTACAGAGTGGTGCCACCCCATGGTGCCCATTCCAAAACGCCAGGGAGGAGCCAGGCTGGTCGTGGACATGACCGCCATCAACAGATTCGTAAAGCGGCCCACCTATCCCGTCAGGCCGATTCACGACTCGGTGGCGTCCATCGACGGAGACACGCGATGGCTGACCACTCTGGATGCCGCCATGGGCTACTTTCAGGTCCCGATTGCCGAGGAGTCGCAAGATCTCACCTGCTTTATCACCCCGTGGGGCAGGATGAAGTTCCTGAGGGCCCCGATGGGCCTCGTATCCTCGGGCGACGAGTATAATCGGCGAGGTGACGCAGCACTCGGTGATATTCCGCGGACTCTGAAAATCGTGGATGACCTCCTTCTGCATGACGCCACGTATCGCGCCCATCTCGCCCATGTGATCGCCGTGCTTCAGCGCTGCCAGGAGACGGGCATCACGATCAACCCACGAAAATTCCAGTTCGCGCAGCCGTCACTGGACTACTGCGGCTATCGCATCTCTGGACAAGGCTACACTGTGGACAATCGCAAGCTGCAGGCGATCTCCGAGTTCCCACGGCCGGAGAATCTCACCGATCTCAGGTCCTTCCTGGGGCTCACCAATCAGCTGGCTGGATTCTCATCGGAGATCGCCAGTGCGGCTCAGCCCCTCCGTGACCTGCTGAAGCAGCGCACCGTCTGGAACTGGACCGTGCAGCACGAGGAGGCATTCAATGCCGTCAAAGGGGCGCTGGTGGCGCCACCTGTGCTCGCCTTTTTTGACCCACAGCTGCCTACGGTGCTGCGGACGGACTCGGCTCGCACCCGCGGCTTAGGCTTCGTTCTCCAGCAGCGCCACGGAGATGTGTGGAAGATGGTTCAATGTGGGTCTCGCTTCCTCACTTCGACCTGGTCGTAGACCACCGCCCGCTCATCCCCATCTTGAATTCCAAACGCCTGTCAGAGATCGACAACCCTCGCCTCCAGCGGATGCGTGAGAAAATGTCTCTCTACAGCTTCACCGCCACCTGGCAGAAAGGAGCATCACACTGCATCCCGGACGCCCTGTCACGCGCACCTGTCTGTGATCCCGCTCCGGGAGACGAGGCCGCCGAGGTGACGGACGCGCTGCACGACGCCGTGGTCGCCGCCCTCACTGCGACCTCCGAGGACGGCATCTTGGTCGCCCCGCTGCAAGACCGGACTTTGGACTCAGTCCGGGCAGCGGCCGCCCGTGACCCGGAGTACCGCGAGCTCCGTGACGTCATCTTTACAGGATTTCCCGAGCACCGGCACGAACTGTCACCAGCGCTGCGGCCGTACTGGGGAGTCCGCTCCATGCTTGCAGTGGACGACGGCCTCATCGTCTACGGCGCGAGACTGGTAATCCCGTCCAGCCTGCGCCGTGACGTTCTCCACCGGCTCCATGATGCTCATCAAGGAATGGAGAAGACCAAACGCCGCGCGCGTCTCTCCGTCTACTGGCCGGGGATAGACAGAGATATCTGTAACACCGTCTCGGCATGCCAGAGCTGCCGACAACTCGCCGCCAGTCACCAGAACGAGCCGCTATGGCGAGATGAAGCCCGGCCGACCCGCGCGTTCGAGTCCGTGTCGGCAGACTACTTTCACGTTGCGGGCCGGACCTACCTCGTCTACGTCGACAGGCTGTCGGGGTGGCCGTACGTGACGGTCTGCCCTCGGACAGCTTCGGCTGATCACCTGGTGACACAGCTGAGACAGCTCTTCTCCCAGACTGGCGTGCCAGCTGTACTGCGAACGGACGGAGGTCCGCAGTTCGCCTCCTCGACGCTTCGCAGATTCTTGGATCGGTGGGGAGTGCTTCACGAGATGTCATCTCCTCATTACGCCCGATCCAACGGTCACGCCGAGGCCACCGTCAAAACCGTGAAGAAAATCGTCGTGGCTGCGTCGGCGAGCGGACGGCTGGATGACGACCTGCTCGATCGCGGCCTGCTAGAGCTGCGAAACACACCACGGGCAGACGGCAGGTCACCAGCTCAAATCCTGTTCGGCCACCCGCTGAGGTCCGGCGTGCCCACTCATCATCGGGCGTTCGCGCCCGAATGGCAGCGTGCCGCCGACGCGTGCGACGCCAGAGCCACCGCTCTTCGACATGACGTCCGGTGCTACCACGATGCTACCGCGCGCCCGCTCTCAGGGCTGCGCGTCGGCAGTCACGTGGACGTGCAGAATGCCGAGAGCGGTCGCTGGGACCGCACAGGCGTGATCGTCGGCGTGGGACATCGCCGAACATACCTGGTCAAGATGCCGAGCGGCCGCATATACTGGAGAAACAGACGGTTACTCCGACCGCACCGCCCCATGCTAGCCAGCAGCGCGGGGCCACCTACGGAGATCGACCCCAGTGGGGAGCAGAGTCCCCCGGCCGGGCGTATGGCGTTACCTCAGCCACATTCTCGTCTAGAGACACCGGAGCCCACGGCGGAGCCCCGTCGGAGCAGCCGTCAGCGTCGAGAGCCTCAGCGGCTGCTGGTCCGTTGGGATGCGCACACATATGACTGATGCTCCATACCTGTGTGTACGTATAGATGTTAACCTGGTCTGCTGTTAACGCGGTGAACTGTTTTGTTTGCTGGTGTGTTTGTTTTGCCCCTTTGTTTGCGTTTATTGGTCCGTCTGTCGTTTGTTGCTTTGTTTCGGGTTTATGTTGTTTGAAGACGTTCGCCCCTCGTCTCACCTCTTTATATCGTGGCGAACATCTTGAGGGGAGGTGTTGTGGTATCGGCCGCCCGGGTTGACCTTGACCGCCCCTGACCCAGCGGGCCGGGCGGCGGGCGGCGCGAGCGGGCAGTGTGGAGCGAGACGAGCTCGAGTGCGGGTGCGGTGCGCGCTGATAAAGTACAGTGATTGTGAGACGCGTGTGTGACGGCCGAGGCGCGGAACAGAACAGTAATTAAAAAGCAAAACAATCTGGTACTTTTTCTTTTAACTGGGCTTGTAGCCACCTTTCATAAAAACACAGTGGTGAATGTTCTGGAGCATTTCAGCCAATGAATCCTCCAGCACACTTGCTTTGATGCGGACCAACGCCGTCTAAACCTGTGCCTGCGGTTGAGCAGTGCTTATGGCGGGTGGCTCTTCATAACCTCCTGCTGAACAAGAGCCCACAGGTTTTCGATTGAATTGGGATCGCGACTTTTTCCAAGTCATAAGCGTTAGCCCAGAATGATTGAAGGTTCTATCGGCATCACTTCCCGTTCTTTTAGGGACTTTTAAGTAGCGCGCCGCCCCGCATGAAGACAGCGTGGCTTGAATCAGTATCAGGCATCAGTGCGCGTTCAGAAATCGTGCCCTCCTATGCCGTCTGGTTGAGCGCCTCCAATCATGCTCCACCACCTTTCCTGGAAAAGCTCCACCCTTGCCTATGGGGCAAAATATAAGGGACAAAACACAAAACAAGACAGATAAAAACAAAGCAAAATTAACTCATTACCTAATGAAATTCAGGCTGGAGCAAAAACATAGGGAATAGGTATCTATGTCAAATTAGAATGAAAGATTAAAATCAACCTGACCAGGCCTTACGGTCTGACCTGGTCCTAACCACCTTACTTCGCCTAACTTAACCCAATTCAACCTAGCCTACCACAACACTGCAGAGGTACCTTCCCGGAAAAATGACGCCCAGGGAGGTGACTGTCCAACTTATTGGAATACTACCATGATTGCTTGTCAAAATGTGTGTCATCATGCTATTGTTTGACAAGTGACCTATAATAAATGTGATATTAAACAATTATCTCCTGACTGTTGACTGTTGAGTGGTCAAAATATTCAAATAATCAGGGTACAATGCTGTGCATTGTGCACACTAATCATGTTGTTTTTGTGTAGGTCCTCTGCACATTGTTGTGTGCACTGCTATGTGCACAAAAAAGTGACTGGTGCACAAAAAAAAATGACTGGTGGTACATGACAAAACAAAAGGTTGTGCAACTGTGAAGTTCATGCCCTTGGTCAAGCTGGTGCCAAATGCCTATAGCTATAGCAGGATCAGTGAGGGTTGTAGACATGCTACATACATTGTGCAATGTGCATTGAAGATATTGGCACAAAGTTCATCCGTAATTACTATGCTTAACAACTAATGTAGGAAGCGACATAAATGCCCAGATGATAAAACTCTCTGGTCAACATCACACAAATTTATTGACATACTTTGCAGGTACATATTTACATTCATGGCAAATACTTTCGATTTGATTCAGAAACTAGTTGCTAGTAAGCTTGCATTTTTGTAGGTACAACAACGACCATATATTAAATCATAAAAACCTTCTCATGGCATTCATCACATACCTACCTTTTTACCGAACAAGTACCTAGCTACCATACAATGATTCTAAAAAAAAAAAATCAGCAATCCATCTATGTCTCAACTGACACAATGAATTTGAAATACCCTAACAAAACCTATAACTGTACATAAGAAGAATGCAATACTATGTACAAGAACTATGAATTTCTGAAGTTATTCTCACATGCTGGAGTGTTGAAACGGTAAATGTCAAGTTTAAGTCCTAAGAAGATTTCATTGATAAATTTTTCATATTTTTACATTATTTGACATCCTGAATCCAAAAATGATACTCATGTGTCTCGCAAATAAAAGAAAAAAACATAATCAAACCTGACCTAACCTTACCTACTTACCTATAACCTACCAACCTACAACCTACAAACCTACCCTAACCTAACCTAACCTACAAACCTACCTACCTACAACCTAAAACCTACAAACCTACAACCTAACCTAACCTAAAACCTAAAATTTTTGCTGTTTCATATTTGTATCAAAAGCGCCACAGTTGTAATTAGGACCTAAACTTGACATATACCGTTGAAACTCTACTTTTGTCGTCCATTTCCACGTTTGATTGTCGCCATCACAATCATATCAAACTGTTTTCGTTCTTCAGTCACAAGCTTTCGCACAAATCTTGAATTTTTATGCATCATCTTGAACCATGCTCCAGTCTTTCCAACAAGGTACAAGGTAACATTGAAGCAATTTTGATTTGTTATAACAGCTTCAGATCATGATAGGCTTGAGGTTTGTTACACCATTTGCCAGACAAATCTCTACAAAATGTGTATCAATTCCCAAACTAAGTAATTGATCATATCAGTATTATGTTTATATAAAGAAACTCAAATAATCCACAAATTGTTATTGAAACACCCCCACTTCAAGAATTCACAGCAAATAACAGTACAAGCAAGTACAAGTACAGAAGCTAACAAACATTGCGCCAGATTTCGTATGAAACGCGCCATCGTCCTGAAGTTTCTACCACAGACGGTAGTTCAACCGCAGCCGTAGTGCGAAAACCCCTGCCCACCTTACCCCACGGCGGAGCTCGGTTGCAATTTGTAAATACGCCCGCCAAACACTTGTCGCCCTTCTCTCTCCTCTCCTTGACATAAGATGGCACGTATGGATCCGCTACCTAATGAGCCGTTGCGATGATCACGGTCGTCGGTCAGCAATGGCCGTCGATCAGCAATTGCAGGGTTTCCTTGCGAACTCCCACTACCATTGTGGAGTAGCTGTCCCACAGCCACATCCAGTGTGTAGTTAATAGTTATGCGCGTGCCGCATACCGATACGGAGTTCTATAGTCATGACCGACATAGGCGGCGGAACGGGGAGGGGACCGGGGCACCGTGCCCCCCTTTGATTTTGGCATTCTAACATTAGCCCTATTATTATTATGGGCGTTGCATGGAAAGAATGGTATCAGAAGTTGGCAGTGCCCCCCCCCCCCTTAATTGAAGGTGTTCCGCCGCTACTGTTGACCGATACGGCCTGCGGGTAGCGGCAACATTCTCGTTGCTAATGATATGATATCTCACCCCTCAGATGGGCAGTTCCTGTTTCTTTGTCACCTTATGCGAAGATTACGGAATAATCATAAAATGAAGCCTTCTCCAGCCAGTCTAAGGTGAGGAGTGGAATCCCATATCTGGAAATCTGGGATCGACTCTGTAGGAAGGTGCAGAATTATTTGCAAGCTGTGGCTACCATCGCAGTTACTTGTTGTCAAATGTCAATTAGATCCCGCCCCCGGTCAGTATCTACTCGGAGCAAATGTCGAATGCGACTACTTTCGCGAACACGTGGAGTCTGGACAGTGGACACAATGGCATCTTAGTCAAATGAGTAATGAGCCTAGTTTGCTAATGACAAGTATCGCTCACTTGGGTATTTTTGTGACATCGGGTCGGGAGATAACTAGGCCCCCTCTGTAGGGACGCTTATACTGGTACGCCAAAAAAGTGCTGGTAGAGTCCGTAGTAGGTTACAGCTTGTCGACTATAGTAGCGGCACTGACGGACATGGAGCCCTGCAGTCTGCATGGGACACAAGAACAAGCACAGTCGAATAAACATTACGTAGTCTGGCGCCCGTTGGTGTTCTGATTTTTCATGGCCGGCTGCAACGCTGTGTCTGCTGGCGAGGATAGCTCAGCACCCGTTTCTTTGGGGCTCCAGGACCACGTAGTAGTTAGGTATGTAAAAAGCAGTAGGTAAGTACCTAAGCGACATAAAGAGCCTCTTAAAAATCATTACGAGTCTTTACTTTTGATAAGAATTGTGGGTCCCCAAAGAAAATGCATTCAATGCATCTAAATATCGAATCGACACTGTGACTGGATTGTTACAGTACAAAAAGTTAAACCATGGCGTGAAAACCAGACAACATAGTAGAATTGCAGCTTATTTGTTTACGTTCGCTGTGGCTTGATTTGCGGATGTATTAAATCCTGTGTTAATTTAATAACAATCACTATAAAATTTGGTTCCAAGTATTTTTACTTAGTTGTAACAATGTACCGGCCACTCCTCCACGCCCAAATACACCAGACTACCAGCCATATATCCACCCGGAAAAGTTCCCTGATCCTCACCGTATAGTGAGACGGACAGTAATGAGTCAGGCAGGGGCGGATAGGATACTCGGGTACCAGTCACCGGTATAGAGTGAGAAGAGGGCGGAAGATCAATGACATATAGCAGATTTTCGTATTCATAGCCGTGTTGACATTCCAGCAACATGTGCACTGTGGGACAGGGCCAAAACAGGGCCCATGATCTCATGGATGCCTCGGTCTCAGTAGCACATTATCCAGTATTTGTAATTAAGGTACCTGGTAGCCTGAATGACATCCTCTGTGACATTAACGTCTGGAAATCCGGAGAAATACGAGTATTCATCGGAACTGCTGTAGCCTGTTCCCGGTTATAATCGGTTATATTAGCCGTTTTCACGACGGGCTATCCGGCGAATGCACCTGATTTGACCAAATCTGCACTTATTTCTTTTACAGCAAATATTTACATTTTATGAATTTATTTCAGTGTTTTAATCGATGATGCTCTCTGATCATATGACAAAGCAGGCATATAAGCAATTAGTGCAACCCTAGCTGATAGCTGCTAAGAGACACACTGAACCTGATTTGACCAAATCTGCACCTAATCTGTACCAGATGTGCACCAAATGTGTACCAGATGGCCGTCGTGAAAACGGCTATTATTGTTCCCATTAGCGTCGCCACGGGGGGGGGGGGGGCAAGCGGGGCAGCTTGCCCCCCCAACCTCGGACCGGGCACCCCCTGAGATCGATACAGATCCGATGAGATTTTGGAGTCGGGAAAAAATGGGGTACCTTTCTGAGAATGCCTGTGAGGTCAGACTCGGTTGGAGCGTGCAGTTCAAACCAGAGTCTGACTCGCAGTCGCCAAAATCTTCAAGACTCCGAGTCCAGACTCGGAAATGTCAATGCTGCGATCCATTCCATGTTCCTAGTTCGTTCTTTATTACATTTTACAGCTGATTTTCATAAGTTTTGGAGTGCTGACACAATTTTCGTTCAAAGCGTGAAACGAAATCTTAGGGGCATTTCTCAACTCTCGTCAAATGTCTGCGACAGGCTCAAGTACCGTACAAGTGTCGCAGGGCTCATGAGCTTGCTTTAAACAAAGGCTCCTAAGGAGCTCCACTGAGCCCTAAAGAAGCTTTCAGAGGGCCCAAACCGGCCTCTGAAAGTTCCACTTGTGTCCATGTTCTCTGAGGGCCCATACAGGGATCTTCGAGCCTTCGAAGTTCGAACATTTCTGAGAACCTTAACTGGCCTCTGATAGTTCAGTCAAACTTTGGAGGCGACAGACCTTGCTAACCCCAAGCCGGCATCTGAGGGGTCACAGCTCACGTGTCCCTCTGAGGTCCGCAACACCATATGTCCCTACGTAGGGTCCTTAGGGATTCGACACAGACCCCGAGGGTTCACACTGTTATCCGAGGGCTCCAGGCTCACCCTGGGCCTAGTCTCTTAGCGCCCGCCGCCCACACTGGCTTCTGAGGGCCCCACCTTGGGCTCGGAAAGCCCTAAAGCACCACGTACACGTAAATATTTGAGGTGACCCACGCCGATCTCCGGGACCCTAAGCATGCTTCTGAGAGTCAGCACTGACCCTTAGTGGCCTGAAATGGCCTGGAAGTCCCCAGGGCCTCCTCTAAGGATTTTTCACTGGGTGGGCATCCAGCGGATCGGAGGGCGGATCCAGCTACTTGTTTTGGGGTTCAACCAATTTCAAAACATGTGCCGGGGGGGGGGGGGGTGAGGCGAAATAAGCTGTGCCATTATTGGAAACAAGATGATAGTTTGCAAAGATAACGTTTGTCGTGTGTTTTATTTTTATCCCTCGCCGGCACAGGCCATTTTGCGTCCCTCGACGGCGCAAGGGGGGGGGGCGAACCCCTCGTGTTTGGCCCATAATTGAGCTAGAGCCTCGCGGAAAAACATCGTGTAGGTCATCACGAGACGAAGCCAACGGTACCCAGTTTTAAGGTCATAGTTCAAATGGTGACCTCTGAGGTGAGGTCAGGTCGTCAATGAACCAAAAGTCGAGAAAATCGGGACCTGTTAGAACGTCGTAGTGTGGCTGCTATGGATTTTTTCGGGGTGCTGATCAAGAATATCATGTTATTTGTGATCACAGATGATATCTTCATGCATTTAGGCCAGGTCGGGTCAGGTCAGGTCAGGTCAACCAGTAGGGGTCCTGCCGGGTATTCGTAGTACGTGTCAAAAGCCTCTGACAGCTTCGTAACATATAACGAAGGCACCAAAACTACTTCGTAAATGTTCAAATGGTTGCCAATTCGAATTCAGCTCCAAAAACTAGCCTAGAAACATATAAAACTCGAAAAAGTGAGCCGAGGTCATCAAAGGTCAATAACCTGACCTGACCTTTAGGTGACCTTGACATCCAACCTTATGCATGAGACCAACATCATATCACATGTTTGAAAGCCTGAAACCACGAAAAGACGCGCGGTAATGCAAGCCGACATACGCCGAATCGCGATTCCGGCCAAAAATTGTCTCGAAAAGCAGGTCACAGGTCAAAGGTCATTTGGGTCAGGATCATGAAATTTTTATGGTAGGTGTAAAATTGATCAACTCGAAGGTACTGCAAATTTTGTCGCGATCGGCCGCTTTTTACGCGATTTATTTGCGAAAAAAAGAAACATAGGGGGCTGCATCACCCCGCCCCCTGTGTATAGGGTTATAGTTAGCGATGCTCGTGACGTCTATTCGTTCCAGATTACATGTACATTGTACATGCCTATTCACTCACGAGACAATTACTTTTTTTACAAATACCGATTAAAACCCAATGCCGTGAGAGGGATGCTACCTGGGCTTATAGATGCAACAGCGAGTTAGAGCTCCTAATTTACGAGCCTCACCGGTCGGACCTTTATTTTTACATTTGCTTCTGGGTGGGCAAATCAACGCCACTGGGTGGGCAATTGTGGTGACTGGGTGGGTATTTGCCCACCCAGTGGGTATGTTAGAGGAGGCCCTGGAAGTCCCAAACCTATCTCTGATGGATCCCTTGCCGCTATGCCGTGCGTAACTTTTGGTTCCGTTTAACAGTTTTTGTGCACGTTTGCAGCGCTTCCCTTCACACGAAAAACGAGAAACTTTTGTTCACACTCGAGTGAACAAAACACTTCCTCTCACTAGAGCAAAGATGAATTAGGTACTTCCGATTCACACTTCCGACATTCACTCTCCGCCGAATGCCCAACTTAGCTACGATCGGCGGCTGGGATAAGTCCTATGCATTTCACGTAAAACCTCTGCATGCATGCGTGAATGGAGGTTTTAGCAGGGTGATCCGATTAAATGGAGCGTTTTTCACCTTTTTCTGGGTAATGATCATTAGTCGAGCGTCTGCACAGGGGCCCTCTGCAGTGCGTCGGCAATCGCAGCCACTATATACTAGTTATATATAATTCTACCAGTCGTTTTTGTCATGGAATTTCAAAATTTCGAATTTTTCTGTAAAAATTACATGCCATAGCTAGAAGGAAACCTTTGTCACCATCGGATTCCTCGCACCATTGCGCGTCGAATGATATGTAAAACGAGTGAGTAAAGACTGGGGAAAGGCAAGTTTTAACACAAAAGTTGATTTTGCCCCCCAACCGAAAATCTCTGGCGACGCCTATGATTGTTCCCCATATTATAATCAGTAAACGTTTACGCTTATTCTGACGTTAGGAAGGTGCCAATATTACGAAAAGTACGGTTGGCGATGCCATGACAGATGCATTGGATCGGATTACAGGTCGCTGCCGGTCTTTGTGAACCATCCAACTGCCAACTACTTCGGTGCTGACAACCGTCCAGGCTGCATCAGTCGGCCTCGTACGGCACTGGTCTTCGAGTCAAAGGTGAGGAGTGAGTACTTCGCTCCGAGTCACAGACAGGTGAGTACTCTGAGCTCCGAGTCACAGACAGGTGAGTACTCTGAGCTCCGAGTCACAGACAGGTGAGTACTCTGAGCTCCGAGTCACAGACAGGTGAGTACTCTGAGCTCCGAGTCACAGACAGGTGAGTACTCTGAGCTCCGAGTCACAGACAGGTGAGTACTCTGAGCTCCGAGTCACAGACAGGTGAGAACTTTGGTCTGCGAGTTACAAACAGGCAAGGACCCTGATATCCGAATAACAATCAGGTGATTGTGAGTCGCGAACGGGAGAGGAATGCTGTACCTATACATATAAAAAAGAACATTCAACTCAAATATGATTTCAATCATATGTAACAGGACAGGCAGAATGGGTCTCCGAGTCATCCACTGTCTAGGATGGTGGTTCAGGAATATTGACTGGCATACATGTGCAGTGTGCAGGAACTAGGAGAAGTAGGAAGGAAGCAGTTTGTCACTATAGGAAATTCCGATCACCGGAGGCTATCTGAACAGGAGGTGTGTTAGGTGTGGTTCAGGCCGAGACAGAATGAGTAGGTTATGACTTCTTCCAGTTTTGCGCCGTTGGTATTTCCATACCTTTGCTATCTGGCAAGACTGCTACCTGATTATTACTGCCACTGATTGACGGATTACTATTCAATCTCTGTATTGAACCTCCTGTTAAGAGGAACGTTTTTTTCCTGGATCAGGTAGCGCACAAACGCACGTAACCCTGCAGTCGCTGATTTTTTATTGAGCCGTGTCTGCAGCACGGCTATATTTAAGGAAATGCCGATCCGAGTCCGCTTTTCGTCTTTGACTCTTTTCCGCGTCTCAGCTCCTCGGCGGTATATCCAGCCGTCAGCGGCCTGCTGCAGTAGCCTCCTTATATCCGGCGGCGGTGGGAGGCTCAGCCGCTGTCACAGCCGCCGTATAGGCGTGACGAACCACCGATCAAAAACCCGATTGACGACTTACGCTCCACACCTTTATGTCAGGATTCCCATTACTGAGGTTTCGTTAAGCCTGGCATTTGGTATTTTTGCTCTTATCAACATACGACCCAATCCCGTTCGGCCAATCGGCCAATCAATCAGCGCCGATCGCCGTGTTGGACGCCGCAAAAAAAGCTCCGACTCGAAGGACAGCGGCACCGCAGATCGGCCGTGCCGATGGTGCACCAACTGCACCGAAAAAAATGCACGATAAACCGCCCGAAAAATGTCTTATTGTAAGATTCAATTTTCATCCCTCCTGCTGACGGATCAGGTCTGTATGCAACGGCTGTGGTGCTACATGCAGGGCGGGTGATACCGGTCGGTTACCCGTCTACTGCTTCCACCGGTAGCCAGCTCTGCAAACGGGCCGCATTCCCACCGCCACTGTGCACACGCCCCCGTCGGCTCCGCAGCAGGACAGCCGTCCTGCGCGCCGCTTAATTATTCACCGATATCGGATAATAAAATCAAATGTGTCACATTGACAGCCAAACGGGTTGGTGTGACGAATTTATCAGGTGGCGCGGCGCCGGCGGGGACGCGCCGCGCGGGCGACCGGTTCCGACCGGGCCGTGTGACGGCGGCGCGACACTCGACTGAAGGCGCCAGTCGCGCGCGCACCGCCGCCGGGGCAGGACGCACGCCGGTCGCTGCCCGAGACAGGTGGCACGCGTCACGGTGCCGGGTGTGTGAGAGGACACGACGGGACAGTGTGGTGCGGCGAGGTGTGTGAAGGGGAGATAGGTGAACTGAAGCTTGTGGGAGGTGTGGTTGAATCTCAGAAAGACTTTTGAAGCCGCGGTGACGGCGGAAACTGAGTGATCAGTAAACTCGGGACTGGCAAATTTACGGGTCGTGCGCGGACGACGGTCGGTTGACCAGGAGACAGCCTTGCAGCTCCACTGCCCGTGGTGAACAGAGAACCGGTGACCGGTCGCGGACGGAGATCCGACGGGGCGCGATGGAGCGTCCGCGGCACCGTTCCTACAGGTGGGTGAGACGCCCTCCTCCCTCCCGTCCCTCGGACAGGCCCGCGGTACGATCGCGCTATCTTGTAAAAACAGTCTAGCGTCGGGAACTGCAAACATTGTTTCAGCTGCCGTTCTTCTCGGGGGCCGATCGGAGCCGGCGGCACCTGTCCCGGTCCAGATAGGAGGCGGACGCGCGCGCGCATCTGATGAGACTTATCTTGACACGCCGGTTCCTGCGCCCGATTTCTCAGGCGATGCGTTGAAATCAGGACAGGCGGCCGCTGCCTCCTGTTTTCGATCATGAGACCTACTGTTGTTTCACGTTATCTGCGATGGGAAACGGCAGGAGGCGCTCGTGGGGTGATGATAGACCGTATTGCTACATTTCAAATTTCTTCCTTTAGTCGCATTGTGGAAACCGATGCTGCTGTGCTAAGGGAAATGACGTGAGAACTCTATGGATATTTTCCGCACAATATAACCTATATGACATTTGATGTTGATGTGGTTGCACGTTCGCAGAAGTGTCGTGTGCCCTAAAAAATGCTGTCTTAGCCATTGGGCTAGGGGCGAAGCAACTACTCGAGGATAGCTCAATCTTCATGTAGCTTCAGCCCAGGTGAAAAATATGAGTTGCTTATTTTCATTCTTCCGTATTTTTCTTTCGTAATAGCTTAGTATATCTTTGACATTATCTGTATAGTTATTGCGAGATATTATCCAACTCATTTTATCTTGACTTTCGTCATTGGGCCACTAAAATGTCCCATTCTGTATGTGGACATTTTCCATTTGGTCGGGAGCTGCGTCGCCAGCCGCAATAATCCGATCCTAAGTTCAACGCGTAGAAGCTGCTGGGGATTTTCATTGGAAAATGATGAGTGATTGCTGAGATATTGTGCCCGTTTGCCACGGCTGATGTGGCACTGAACACAAGCTGCGGGTGGTGGCATTCATAAATGTCGCGGGGCGGTTCTGACCCTGGTGAACCCCTTGATGTCAACCCTTCTTGAGAAAAGATCATTGTTGTTAAAAACGTAGGCCTCTGTTCTGTAGTTAGTCACCTACTTTTATAGTCTTTTTTCACTTACTCTTATATCGACTTCTTTAGTTCACAGTCGATTCTTACTTTAACACTAATTGGGCTCCCTGCATAGGTTTAATAAACGCATTTATGTGTTTAGTGGGTGATGTTTTTGGGTGTCAAAAGGGACGATTATTCGGCGTAGTCCAACAGGATTCCTTTTCTCGGTTGGGTGTCTCTAGCAACCTTCTTAACGTTCAAAGTGCTTTTAGAGCGTAGACGTCCAACTGTAGGTACTGCTCCAAGTTCACATGCTATATGACCCTGCCGTTTTATCTATGGACGTTGCAGTGTGCGGCGCCCTTTTCCGAACACAGCCTTTTGATGTCTCTACCAGCTGACGGATGCAGAATCTGCACCATTTGTGCTGTTGTGCCCAAAGCGCTCGGTTTTAGTCGAGCCTTTTTCGCATGCCAGTTCGTCTCCGATTCAATACATCGCTTCTTCGAATCTACATAAATGTAAAGGAAGCCTTTGATAAAAAAGCTTTGAAGTCTGAAGACAATATCCGACTATTATGGAGTGTTTCCCGTTTGCACTGAACCGAAATATAAGGCATCGGATAAAAAGCACGATGATAAACGCTCATTTTCACGGTTAGCTGAAGACTGGCTGTCAGCAAACTGCCGATTGGTGAGCTTTTTGTCATTTTGGGCTCATTTTCTGTAAACTGGTTTCGCAAAATGTTTACAAGCCATCAGATGTCGTTTTATCCTCCCTTCTTCACTAACATCCCTTCCCCAGGAAAAAGTTGGATATATTTAGCACAGCTGGAGATCGATCATTTTACGGTATCCCGGCACAGCAGCCGTGATTATTTTTCAAACATTTGCTAATCGGTTTCGCACCGCTGTAGGAGGAGCCTCGGCGCGCTATCTAAATACCGTTTGTGTGGAGCGGTCCGTTCTAATCTGCTTTCCTTTGGAGAGTGTAGCCGTTATATGAGCCCTTATCATAAGCACACAGCACACAAACGTCCCCATGAAGCAATAGCATTGGAATACACCGCAAAGATCACAGCTCGCATCACTACACACAGCTCCATAAACTGGAAACTCGGTCACGGGCTAATAATCATACCAGGAATCGTATTCAGCCGTGGCAAATGTAGATTAACATATTCAGATTAATTTATACGTAATTTCATGATACGTAATGTCATATGGTGGGTTCATATGATAAGTCTTATACATTTAAGTTCATTCCAAAACCACAACCTGACAATGTGACTCTACCTTAGTTTGTGAGGCATCGGCTAATAGCCAGACTTAAATTTTTTTTAGCGAGATTATCAATCCCTGAACAATCAGCACAGGGCGTGTTCGTTAACCCGGCACCGCCTGGGCTATTTCCGTACCCACATCAGCCTGGGGGGGGGTCGGATCCGACCCCCCCCCCCCTGTTATCTCGAGAACCAATGGTCGTATCGAGCCCCGCGAGGCGGCGTTCGAAAGGTCTCTACGAGACCTTCCCAAAGCACTCTTAAGATTTTAAGATTGAGGTCAACTTTCGGGTCAAGGTCAGGTCAAAGGTCAAATTCAGGGGTTTTGCATGATTAGGCTTACGGACAGCGGAATCGATAGCTGCTGCTCGAAACTCACCACAAATGACCTCAAAGACCTAGTGAAGGTACCATGTGCGTATAGGGGTCATACTAAGTACGGGTCAAGGTCAGGTTAGGTCACGAAAGGTCACGGTTTTCACTTTCTGCTACATGGGCGTGCGACACATGTTTTATGGCTTATTTTTCACGCCAAATCCGATGGTAATGGTTATATGTGACCCCAAGTCACTGTGCTGGTGATAGGTGTGCATTGAAAGCATAAAAAAATCGTTTATACCATACATAACTAAACGAGGGCTAAGAAAAAAAAGTCAATTTTTCAACTTTTTATTTTTGACATAAAAATGCACTTTTCTAGACGAGCTTTGTCCCAGGAATCTAGTGGTGCCATTTGTTTTCACATGCGATGTTCAGAAGTGCCTCTAATTCGCGAAAATGCTTATGACGTCACCATGCCCTATGCATGTTGGAGCTATTTTTTACAATTTGGGGGTCAAAAATCAAGATAGAAAGTTGAAATTTGGGACATCTAATGTTCAAATAGAGCTCTATAACATATATTCCGTTTTTTTGAAATTCTCAAAATTTTGGATTTTATTAGCTGTTTTCCAAAAAATATAGTTTTTTTCATTTTTTAGGGGTTAAAAACGCATTTTATGGAAAATCCGAGATAGCCATTTTAAAGAACTCGTTAAGCTGCGTCTGTTCATGTCCTTAATTTGCAATTTGCTTAAAACCTCGATTTTTGGCGATTTTTTAAACATTTACCATTTTTTGACTGAAAACGCCATGTAGTTACATCACTAAAATCGATATAACTCAGAAATTTTTGAAAAAAAAATTCTTAAAAATTGCACAAGAGACGTCAAATTGATGGGGGAGAAGGTATGCGAAGTTTCAAGTTGATAGCGCAAGCGGTTCATGAGTTATTCAAGAAAAACGGAGGGGGGTCGGATCCGACCCCCCCCCCCCAGGCGGTCGCGGGTTAATGTGAACGGATATCGTCCAGTCCGGGCACTGCGCTGCCCCTGTAGTTTTCCTTCTGCCGTTTGTTGCCGGCAGGTGGGGTGGTATTAGTACGGAAATGAACTCGTGTAGGGGGTGTGTCGGTTCAACGGGGACGGTGACGGCAGTGACGGGGATACGTCACGGGGGCAAACACGGGACCCGGTGCCAGCCGTCCCCGTCCGTCCGCGTCGCGCCGCGCCAGATTGATTCACCCCAAACGGGTGGCCGGGTAATAAAATACTCACCAAGGTCTGACGCCGCTACCAATACGGCTGAAAACAGGAGCGCCAAGGGAGGCACGGTGGGTGCATAGGCTAATGAGGAATAATAGGGATATAGGGTGCTGGTGGTCTATAGTTTCAGCTTTCCCATTCATAACAAAGCCCATGGGTTGTACACTTATGTACGTTTACGGCGTTTTATACTTGGCTAATCTTGATAATAGGTGGAATGTCTTACTGCGCTTACGCACGGTAATCCGGCATTTTGGTAATCTATGCTCCGAGCGTGCTAACCTGGTCAGAGCGAGCATTGTGAAGCGCTCTAAAACTCTTGATGAGAACCTAAGAACAAAATAAGCCCAAGCACATCATTTTTTACTTGTACTGGAAGCGGAATACATGCACAGGAAGATGTTAACAGTAGCCCTCGGTCTGGGTAGGGCCATGGAAAACAATGCTTTTAGCTCTCCTGGCTTTATTCACCACCGCAGGATGCAGCTGGTCATTGGCCTGTGAGGAAGAACACCGGCATTGTCCAGTGCGGTCGCCACAGCTGAGGTCAGAGGTCATTTCCCGCTGGTTCGGCTGATGCATCAAGGTGTGGCTAGCCGAGCGGATTTAGGGCATCAACATTGCTTTTGCGTCAGCTGAGGCACTAAATTGCCGACCTATCATCGCTGATTCACCATGCTCGCCTTTCATGCATTGATATCAACTGCATGGTTGACCAACTTGAACTGCGAACTTGTCACCCAGCCGCCAGAATCTGAGCGGAAGTGCCGCGCGAACGCCTCGGAGGATCGCTTCCAGAGCTGTGTGGCCGGCTGGTTGACGGACGGGCGGGCGGCACTGCAGTAACGTGAGCCGACCTCGGCTGCAGGCCCTCGATAAAATGTATAAATCGGCCGGGGCCGGCGCTCCCGGCCGATACAGAGCGCCTGGGTGGCGCGTGTTTACCGAACTGGTGGTCGGCAGTCAGCCCGGCCCGACCAGAGAGTGTGAACTGTGACCGCAGGGCCGGCACAGGCGCCGGACACTGGCCACTGTCCAGTCGAGACATGAGCCATGCACGGGCCTCGGTCTGCAATCAAATGGCTCGCCATACTCAGCTGTCCGCAATGATTCAGTAGTTGCATTTAATT